ATTATGGACAGGCCATTTTGATCAAGACGTATTTAATTGTAATTCGCATTCTTTAACGACTTTTTCGAGCCTATCGCCCGTAGCTTGATACATGCATGCTCTTATCGCTAGTACACTTGCGCAATATTATTTTTAATTACGTCACAATTTACAAGCACGCGTAAGATATATAGGATTCATAGTAAACACGCGTTCTTTTTGTAGTATCCTCTCTGTTATACGTTTTGATTTATCCGATCGACAGCTTTTCGATCGCGATGATGGAAGCAACGTGATGGCGCATTACGGGTTGATGCGGCTGGAGCTTCTGAAAAATAAAACAAGAGTTTTTATCTCGTGAAATGTAATACGAAATCGATGATTGGGAGATCGGAAGATAGAGGAATGGCAGGCTTACTTTACCGTCGCTATATTATTTTAACAGACATTTTATCTGCATCTATATCGTTTTTATTACAATTAAACGAATAACGTTCATAAATTAAAAGATATATAAAGTAACTTTTCAGAATATTTTATTAATAATAATTGTATAATTTCCTATAATGCTTCACAAAATTTAAACTTCCTTATTCTTGAGAGCACGCTTTTAGGTACTACTGCAGGTACAATAATATATTTAATTAATTAAAAATACTCTGCTTTCGAACTTATATTTTCTTATAAACAGCAACATTTTTTAAGAAACATTGCCTATTGAGAAAAAGTGCCAAAAGTAACAACCGGTTAATAATTACAGCAGCAACGAAGACCCAATGATAATCTTCATCTTGCGGCAATAATTTTTTTACCTTGTAGAAGATTATCTTATGCATAGAATTTAAACTCGAACTCAATCGCAAGAACTTTCGATCATCCGACCGTAAAATAAATTTATTTCAGACACCGTGGAAAGTGTGTTCGACTACCTACAGTTGTACGGAAAATTAAGTATTTCTACGGTAGAATAAAGATATGACATTGATTAATCGACAAAATGGCGCAGCTGCGTTTAACCCCTTCGTTTACGAGAAGTTTGATCGAGGCGAGTTGATGATACGCTGAATATTAACATCGATTTTGCCCTCTATACCTAGAAAGCGAGAGGAGGGAGGGAAGTGCATTTTATGCGCGGCTTGTGCAAGCTATGCTGCTAATACGTTTCATTACGCACAAAATAATGAAAATTGCGAACACGTAAAACCCGGTCGAATTAAATGTAGACCATCGCGCTCGGTGCTTTCAGGACACTCCGTTTTATACCTGCCGTTATCTCGTTATCATCAAGGGATCCATTACCTCCAAATAAATATTTCTAATGATTTCGTAGGTGCATGCGTAGCACCTGAATGCACGATGAATTTTATACGCGTATTTTAAATATGACGCTACATTATTATTCGAGTCCTCTAGTTATCATAATTAAATTTAATTTATAACAGTAATACGATTTATGACAATGCATAAATACAAAGAGAATTTTGATCTGGATTCTAGAGTAATGACTTTATGTTTATATACTACTGTACTGACTTTATGTTTTAAATTCTGTCGTAAATACAAATGATTGCTGTGCATAAAAAAGCTCTATTTTTCTCGATTATTCTGAATTCTTCGTGCAACATTAATTTTGAAAGCAGAATATATTTTATAGTGTAATCAAAAAGATCGAAGGACAATCAATGGATAAGTCTAAGTATAGTTAATATAATTCAACTATAATTAAAGTTTAATTCGACAAGTATAAATAGTAATAATTCGACCAAGTATAATTAGTATAATTCGACACGACAAGTTTCGTCCTTTGACAGAGAGAGGGGGAGATGAGAGAAATCAGCGAACACGCTATTGGCTACGACACATTGAATTCGGCGGTTCCTTTGGCATAGTTATCCTTTGCGCGAAGCATTCTACCTTTCCAAAGGTAGACGGGCGTCAGGTCAGATTGTCGATTGCAATGATCGACGACCTGAACGCAATGCAATTTCTCAGATGTTAGCGTTTCGGTATAGAATGACGTCAATCGGTTTGTCATCGCGCTTCGCACAGTTCCATCATTTCGCATTCCGTCAGTTCTACGGCGCAGTTGCAGTAGATCGAAGTTTCATGCTTCCGGCAATTTATTGAATACTCCTCATTTTTCAATATCTCCAATTTTGGAAACCTAGTTTTTATGAACCAGAATCTTTTATCATCCCGAGTCCACAAACTCGATAAGAAACCGAGACTTCGAAACTGGTATGAAAAATAAAAGTTCTGTTTTTAAATTTGTTTAACAATAAATTAGAATCAATAAGATGAGGGAGATACGTTATTAATAACAATAATATAATATATATAATGTAATATAAATAATTATATATTATACATATATTATAATCCCATAGTTAGTATTCTAAGAGAGTTTCTTCTGAGATATGATTCTAGAAATGCGAGTTAATGGAACGTGGTTCTCTTATTTCTTCGAGAAGGGAATCTATTTCTCTGCATAAACATACAATTTTTCATTTCTCAGAATTTTCTGAAAATAGTCTTAGGGCGTACATCTTTTGTATATTCGACAGAATAACTGTGTCAAATATGTAGAGATCAAAATACAGGCGCGTCAACAAGGACGGCAAACGCAATATGTAGAGTTTGTTGAACGTGTTGTTTGATTATCATATCGAATTCACCGAAGATGAGTAAATGTTCGGTGTCTATACCATCAATTGGAGATTGTTGATTTTAAAGCCAAGCAATTCAAAGAAACCATCGCATGATACAATGTTTATGTAGAAATTCACGATAGTTCAAACATTCGTCATTTAATTGGACTGACATCTGACATTTGAAGAAGACAAAAGGGAAATGTTAGCATTTCCTTAGCGTCTCTGCATTTGTCTTGTCCTGCGATTTTTTTTCATTTGTCACTTCTAGATTATTTTGTAACTGTAACAATATTTTCAAAATTTAAAATGAACGCGAATTTGAGATTTTCCGCATTAAAGCATGGATTGCATAATATGGTGTTAGAAGCAACAGCATAGCTGTTAATATTAATTTTGGTTTGAAAGTAGAGTTCGTGCAACTTCTTCAGATATTGAACTCTACTCGCTCGGTTTTTTTAGAGGGATGCAGAGAATGTTTGCGGTAAAATCGCTCTTCGCAAATCGATTTTCTTTGTAATGTACATTTCTCTTTTCCATCTCATATGTCTCGGAATCAGTACAGCTGATGTATCACTTGTGCTCGTGCACTTAAAATTTATCTCGAAGTACATGTATATCGTTGCTATTGGAATTATTATTATCGACGATACCTTTCGTCCACACAATTACCTGACATTCGACATTTTTCACAATTTATTTATGCTAATGATAATTGAACTGAAATTCCTATTCAGATTATTAATTTTGTTTATCCATCACATGTCATAATTATTTATTATTACATTCAGTGAATTGAACTCGAGTTGAACAAAATAATTAATCGCAAATATTATTATAAAGGAAAAAACATTTATTATTTGTGTATTAATATATAAAAGATCAAGTATACGTATAAGAATTTAGATTCTTAAGATTCAGTTCTGATCATTATTCGCAAACGTGGAAAGCATTTACAGAAGCGTAGAAGATTGTTTGTGTACCTTCAACAGATTGGTTAAATTTCCGTCGAAACACGCCAACCGTAGGGAGTTCATAGGACGTGCGCGGAAAAATTTGATTGCCGCAGAACTGCATCGAGTGCATCGGGTACTGAAATATGACTTCCTGGTGTGTGGTTGTCCGTGGTTAATTCCGTACTACTATTTCGAGAGAAGTACGTACGCACGATTCCGGAGTAAAGCGGTAAAATATCGATTTCGTTTGCGCTCCGTTTTTCACGCCGGATAATGTCATCGATAAATTAAAACACGCTTTTAACGAGAACACGATCGTACGCGATGTCATTCGACAATTAATTACAATCCACAATTAAACACTTTCCGCGAGTTGAAGCACACAGACACATTAATTGACATACATTATTAAGCATGGCACGTATCGTTCTCGGTCCCATTTAAATAGTTGAAGCGCATTTGAAATCAGGTCATGTGTCTTTTTCCGTCATTTTACAGACGCGATGCAATCGCGATTTCTTTGTGATCAAGTCACAAAGTGAGCAAGTCACAACGCGCTTTATGATACAGAATAAGTATGTAATATTACATCGAGAACCCTTGTAATACACACTTTGTTAAGCTTATAAATTGAATTGCATTCCTTGCACAACGTGAGTCAGAAAAATTTCGTTGCGTCGCGAAGAATGAGAGAATTTCTGCATGTTTCTAGTGTGTCATAAATATTTATGAATTTTTTAGTTTCATGTATTTATGTTTTAAATTGCGACGGCATACCAATTAAGTACATTCTATAAAGCTGTATTTTAACAAATTAAGCATTAATGTAACGCACTGACAATGAGCGTAACTGAAATTAAATTACAAGAAAATTGATTAGTAACGAGAGACTCTACACAGTTTTAATTACACACGCGATAATACGCAATCAGTGTTTTTGATTTAATTTAACTGATATTTTTCGGGCAATTTAGATTGTAATATTAACTTGATTAATCAAACGCAATTAAACATAAATGCATTTAATCAAAAGACATTCCGGTTGATTCACTGGACTACGTGTTTCCTCTTTTTCTCTTTATTTGATCATTGATGGGAATTTTTGAAATATTTTGCAGGTATTCAAATTTTTATTGGCGACATCTATATCTTCTTAAACATATTTCATTTCAATATATTTTATAGTATATAAAAAATGTTGTCTATTTCGGCATAAATCCACTTTTGAATAGTTCTTAATATAAAATAGTTAAAAATTAAATTGGAAATACCAAATCATATAAATTACAAAAGTATTTTTTAAAGACGTACAAGAAGAGAGAGAGAGAGAGAGAGAGAGAGAGATTTTTACATTTTAACATTATATCTTCTGTATTTTAATGACATGCAAATTATTTTACATAATGACATTGCTATATTTTCAATGTTTTATTTATCATTATATTCTTAATTAGACGAAACTTTATTAAAATTTTTTTGTGATTTACGGTATATTTCGCATTTCGTATGTAGAATACGTAAGTGGTAAAAAGTAAACAAAACATGATAAAGGTAGAATAACGGCAACCCGGGTCAATCGGTTGAAAAGACGTGGTAGCACCTAAAGAAACATCTTTTGTGGCTTTCACGAAAACGGATATCGTAATATAAACCACCCATTCTTATCCGTAAGAATATACGAGCTCTTTATCTTGGTAGGTACTTGCTGAAATGCCGGGAAAAGCACAGTTCCGTTACCTCAGTACATCAAACCTATTATTCTTGCGTCTCGCCAAGAAAACCAACGTAAATCGCTGGTATTTTGTCACTTATTCGACACCGATACTGAAATATAAAAAGTAAATAGTGAAAAAACCGCCGGACATATATCATTTATATATCGTCATTTTTAAAGCTTAACAAATTCATCTCGCTTAACCGTTTTTGCATTTTTTCTTTTAATAAAAGATTAATTTAAATTCGTAACATATATTCAAGGACAATTCTTCTTTTTAATTCATATAAATTTTTAAAATTTTCCCAAAAAATAGAGATAAATTGCCAGAAGAGATATGTTTAGTTATCAAACTAAACGATTATTTGATACACAAAAAATTAGATTATAGCGAATAAAATACGAATATTCCAATCTTCTTGAAAAATGTAAAAACATTCTAGGCTTTTTACCTTGCAAATCGTACTAAAGAAAGAAATGATTGTCCTATGAGTCAGACTAAAGGTATTATTATAACTAACGTTAGAAAGACTTTTGCAAAAAGA